AATGGAGCCTTGGAATAATAAGATTTTGAATCTATATGAAGTTCAATTTGTCCATTTGCCTTTAATTAATTAATTTATTTATGTATTACCATTTATTATTCACCATTTTATATTGAAGCATGCAAGCATCATGTTAATATTTTAAAAGGAATATGAAGAGAACTTCCATAGGAAATGTAACCGCAATTTTGCGCCGTGATTAGGGAAATGAATCAGTTAATTCTTAATTGCTTTTTTGTATGCAATTAATTGGTAATTGACAATTATTAATTGATTATATTGTTTAATTTCAATTATTTTTAACTCCGCTAAGTGTGATTGAAAAGTTAAATTTGCCTTTTTAAAAATTCTGTCTAAACATTGAATAAATTTTTTAATGAAATTTCTATGCAGATATTTTCTTCATTCTCCTAAATTCAGTCACTTTATTATTCTAACATGTAAAAATGTCAATTACTCAATTCCACTCTGCTCTAAATTGCATTCGGTATCATCCCTAAATATTTTAATTCCATTTCGCTTCGTTTTTTTCGTTATGATAATTGAGTTTAAATTGATTTCACATTTTCCATGGAATCTCTGCTTGTTATGGGCAAGTTTAATTTTTGTTGTTATTATTATTGATATTAATATTAAATCAAGAGAAATATTCATAAAAACCTTGCATAAAACAGCAGCAGCAAAAAAACGTTCATAGATTTTATTATGATGAGGGCAGATTTTGAATCAAAATAGAAGAAAGTACGACTGATGTCAAATGAAAAGCAGCCGACGAAATGAGAAACATAAAAAACAATGAAACATGGCATAAATTGAATTCCTTCATAAACTTCTTTTGTGTTGAAACTGTGCTACTGCTGCGAAAATATTTTCTTTGAGTCACTTTAATCAGACAACGAACACAAAAATCCATTAAAATTGTTAAAGAATTTCAACGTGAAGTGGAAAAAGAAGAAAATGAATGGCAAGAGAAGAAAATATCAAAATAATCCTTTTGTGAAAATGTAGTGGAATTCTTGAAATTTCATTGTTTTATGAGCCCTTGTGGAAACGTTCTAAAGTGATGACAGCAGGTGAAGTTTGGTTCAATGACTGTACTTTACAACATTAATCCAACATTTCATTATACCTTCAACTGCGTCAACACCACTTTTAAACAGAAACATTCTCAAGAGTTTAAGTATTTTCTGCCTGCCTCAAAAACATCTGAGAGTTTCGCTTTACACTTACCGGGAAAAGAATTCTTCTGGGTTCTTTATGCCTCATTTGACTCAAAGTGTCGTCGTATGTATCTTCTTTTTAATTATTTCTTTGCTCCCTTCGCACTGTCGCTTACAGACGACGCATAAAATGCTTCAAAAATAATCGTCTCCGACACGATTCGGAAGAAGTCTATGAGGATATTTTTCTGACGTTTCACCATCTCAATCTTCTCAACTGAAATTAGATTTTTACTTATGAAGCATAAGAGGTTGTCATGGAGGTTAAAAAATGTTAAATAAGTATCTTCACTTGTATTTGCTTTAATCTACAAAGCGAAATGTTTCCGTTAATATAATTAATCATTATCCTTGTAAATCATCAGTTGTGAGGCAACGAATGCAAATGAAAAAGTGTTTAACCAATTTTTGTGTTGGGATTGGTTTTCAGAACGTCAAGTAATACATAATCAAGGAAGGCAGCATAAATGTTCGTTTCGCTGCCTAATGGGAATATCGCAATTCCGAATTCATGAAATAAATTATTTCAGTCTGTTATGAATTTATCCAATTATACGAGATCACTTCGTTCCATCATTTTCATCATAAGTTATGTCTACTTTTTGTTCATGGCTTCAGTTATTGATTTCCCTTTCTAGATAGCAAGAAATTACTTACATTACGAACATACCAATAAAGCTTAATGGCATTTTTACTTCAAATATTTACCGTGAGTTGTAACCGCGTTTCACAATTTGCAAATGACAATAATATTTGTTATCAATTCGGATATCAGCAGTATGGTGACATTCACAAATTTATTTATGAACATTAATTTCCCGTTGCATTAATTAAGCGAGTAAACATTAAGAATTGGAAATGGTTAATGGAAAAACCTTTTTTAAGCCGAATGCAGCAATTCCGCAATGTCAAATATTAACAGTTGGCATTAAATTCAACAACTTCTTAGACGGTCAATGATCCGTAGAAATATTTCCTAAACAGATTCAATGTTTCCCTTCTTTTGTTCTGTCAAATACAAGCTTGCGATATATGAGTTTATGATAACTCTCTTATGAATGGCAGGCGCATTGAAGTGAAATAAATCAATAGCAACTCTGCCGTCTGCAGGCCTTTTCTCCTCTCTCACAATAAAAAAATGTCACTTTTGTGAGATTTTCATTTGTTCAATGAGGAAAATGAAAAACTTATTGTCAAATTGTTATTTGCATTGCGAAAAAAGTTTGCTTTGCGCATGAGAAAAGTTGGTGAAACTCACCTGAAATCCATCATAAGTCCATGATCCAAATTTCATTTCGCATCGTTGATCGTCGAAAGGAAACCATGTTATGTCGATTTTACATGTGGATTTAAAAATTCCGGGTGGCACATATAAACACGATCCATTGCTTCGTACGACCACATTCGTCGGATATGTACCGTCAAAACCTTCGTCAGCACTGTTTGGAAAAGAGAAGGAATGAGATTATCAAATGCGAACATACAACAACATTCAATTCAATCTCATAGACATAACAGCCATGGATTGAAATTATTTATGTGTTTCTTTAAACATGTTATTGATATTTTCTGACTTTATTGTAACAATAAAAAATTGGAACATATGAGAGCGACATTTTAATGAAAAAAGCAATTTTTTTGTATTGTATTGAACACTTTAGAATGAACTAGATATTTATGAAGTCGAAGCTTTACAGCTGTCCACTTGAAGCTTTCAACAAAAATATTAAAGTTGTCTCGTTGCTTCTTATTAGACACAAGCATTTGTCAATAGAAAGAAAGATAATAGAAAATCGGTTTTTGTTTGTGCTCTGCATAGATTTGTTAAGTTCATGTTGAAAGTTTAGTTAAGAAAGATAAGCATAGACATCAAGAACTTATGTAACAATTGATTTATAGGATTTTCTTGAAATCAACCAACGATATCATGATCCATCTATCAGAAATATTTACAAAAGTTTTTCTTGTTCGATTCAATGAAGTATTTCATTCGAAAAGTTTATTGTGTGAAGATTTATGTAAGTTTGCAAAGAAAAGGAATCAAAGCATCGTGACATGACTTTTTAACGAATCCTTCGATATATTTTCATCACGGAGAAAGACTGACATGAGAGGAAGGTAAAGCTTACCTATTGTACATAAGCACATCTGGCTTCCACAGTCGATGTGGAGGTATTCTCAAATCCTTTACACCGCCATACTCTGATGAATTCCATCTCAAATTCATGTCATTCCATTCCTGTTGACAAAAACGTAAGCAAAAAAATATTTAAACGAGAGAAAAAAAATTCACAATCATCATTAATTATGAGTAGAAGCGAGTCATACGTTAGGTTCACATCGAGCGCTTTTATTCATACTGAGAGAGCTTTTTACATCGACAAAAAATTCAACAGTGCTAATGTTAACGATGAAAAATTTATGCGGGTAATTATAATAATTAAACAGACAATCGGTAAACAATTCTGAAAATATTCCCATTAATTGTCGTTTATAAAAGATGTTTTCCAAATCATTTCAGAGAAGGGATGCGGGGGTGGGAAGGAAGAAGAAAATTTCATATTTTAAATTTATTCATAGTTTAACTGTAATTAAGTATTGGCATGAAAACATTGTAAATTCTCTTTCCTTGTTTCCTGTTTATTCAACATTAAAAATTCAGAAGCAAACTCTCGATCAATACTTTGCTTTCCTTTCAAAGACGCTTCCTGTTTTTCTTTAATCATAACTTGATACCGGAACTTACCAACTTAAGCCAAATATTGGTGATGAGTAGTTGATTCTTCTCGTCCTGCCAACCGAAGAGAAAAGTTGTATCAAGTAAAAGAAGAAAGGAAGAAAATTGTTTAGAAGTCTTAACAAAATTTATGCTTAAAGTTTTTCATGTAGTGTTTATAAGGCGATTGCGAATTCTCATTCTTTCCCCTTATATATGTGATTCCAACACCCATAATGTAAAAGCCCATATGAAATTCCAATTATTATACGGATCTGTTGTTTTCACCAAGCTCAAGCAATAAATTATATCGGGAGATTTAAGAATTAGACATAAGCAGAGCAGAAACCACACACTCGTTCGCTTCCTTCAACTATTTATTCTCCCAGAAGCATAGATTATAAGATATTTCATACTTCTCATTTTCTTATAAATAGCACATAAGATTCCAAATCTTTTCTTGATAAATTTCGACAGTACAGCAGTACGTTATGCAATGTCTTTGAAAGCGTATTAATATAAAGTCTCATGTCGCCCCATGCCTAGTCTAATACCAAACAAATGATATGATAAACATGTTTATTGAGTTATATTCATTTTATGTCAAAACATTCATTTCTTTACTTTACTTTACTTTATTTTACGAAACATTAAACGGTTAAATTTCCATTGCCTGAAGTGTCAGAAATCATAGATAAAAAATCTCATTTCTGGCAATAAACTTTTATTTTTACGCACGTACAGATCGAATGCAATGTTTTCTTATTGAAAAGCTTTTCTTATCATAAGATTGAAATTTTCATAGCGTTTTCCATTTTTTGTTTGATCTTCGTTCAAATATTTATTAATCTGCTTGTTTTATGAAATTTTCTATGAGAGTATAAATTTTTTATAGGTGAAAGTGAATCGTTTTTTATTAATCCAAAGTTCAGCTGGTGTTAATTTTAGTTTGATGACCGAATTTACTTTCGGGTTATGTCTGAATATAAAAAAAAGAAGAATTTAAACTTTTAATGATAAGAATCTGAAAGTGATTGATGTTCAACCTTTGTTAAAGCTTTCCTTTTAACAGGTTCGAAAAAGCCAAAACAAGCTTAAAGATGAAGTGGAATTAATTTGCAAAGGTTAAACAATACACGATAAAATTCTCGCACGTTGTTTGAAAGAACGCTGAAAAGCTTCTTGAGCATGATGATAAGAAATGTTTTTACGTTTTTCATCTTCCCTTATTCAACGTCTATAAATTTAACGCCAACATAGCTTCTGAGATCTTGGTGATAATTTTGATTCATCACACCTTGTTAAGATTAACTTAAACAATGATGAAGTACAACAGGGTTTTAAGGTTCATAAAAGCCTTGCTTTCTCTAATGATTTAAGAGAATTTAATGGATTCACGTAAAAAGCAATTTGTCAACCTCACAAATCATTCGTTGTCAAAGCTTTTTACACTTTGTGATTAATGATTTTAAATGGTCTACATTTTATGTTTAAAAATAATTCGAGATTACAAATCTCATTATTTTTAACGATCATCTCATTTCATGTACTTGGTAACTGCTTGATTTTCAAATCTACTTGGTTTGTTAACATCATTCATGAATGGATATGAGGTAGCGACAGTAAATTAGCAACTTTAGTAATTTCATAAACATGAAACATCTTTTTATGGCTAATTCATTATCTCTCATTAATTATATCTTCTTTATAATCACATTAGTTGTGATATCAGTTACCTAATGTTCTTGATCGATTTGTCTTACAATTACAACGACACAGGTGTTTTCACTTTCTCATTAAACATCTAGCTACATATAATATTAGTCAATTAGCTTGCCAAGCCAAAGTTGCGGAAGACTCATTAAAACTTTTGCCTTCTAATCAATTTATTTCGGTTTCCTTTCATTTCTTTTTCCACAAGACAACACACCATATACATAGCTACAGACACTTTGTTTTCGATTCAAAGATCTTATTTGTCTTTCGCATTTCATCGAATGAAATCATAGCAAATGTCGTTGTTATGAAGTCTTTATCATACAGAAACTTTATTTTATATGAATCGCTCATTTTTTCATCATCTTTCAAACATCTTTTTTATAAGAGAAAAACAGGAAAAGTAATTTAAAGTTTGTCTTCATCTGTAAAAAAATAATCTTTTCAAAGAAAGTGAAATGTTGAAAATATCTAACGAAAGTCAGAAACGGAAGAAAATTCTTTTTCATAAACTTTTCCGTAACCTAATGCCTTGGTTTCGTGGTATTTATCTATTCCTTTTTATGATGTGATCCCTCATTTTACAATTTATTTAGTTTAATTATTAACACCACAGAATGTCTTCATAAAAAAAAATGTCGATAAACTTGCAACCCTTGACGCAGTCACGTACCAAATTTTTATTTTTCTCAAAGAAACGCAATCGTAAGAGCAAATTGAGTTAATTCTGACACTTGCAAAGCTCTTAAATATATTGCTTGGAGGCTTCCACATTCCATATTCATATAATGGAAATTAGGTTTCAGTCTCAAACCATTACGAATATCAAGACAAGTATGACAAATATATTTCGAAGTGCTTCATTTAACACAAGATGACTTTTCTGTGTCGCTCTGGAAATAAAGTGACGGTTATCACATCATTTCTATGTGGATTTTCTAAGTAACATGAAAAACACGAGAAAGTTGACAGCAGAAAAAAAGGAAATTGCATACATATCACCATGAAATTGATTAGGCTGATGCTTGGCTTTTTGAGAAGGGTAAACTTGATGTCAAGAAGGTGAAAATCAAGATTTTATTCGGTGATTTATCAGATAAATGTTATAATGTGTTAATGTATGTAAATCTTTACATATATTCAAATCAGTTTCCTTAAATTAGAACTTAAGTGTTGGAGAGAAGGTTTGAATTCTTAAGCGTCATGTTAAATGGCATTAACTCGTTTACGAAGTTTTCTTATGACCCAAATCACGAATAGAAATCAATTTATAATCAAGTTAAATTTACCTTTTTCGACCTCACATATGAATGAACCCTTCACCCACACGTTCAGGTGTTTAAACTAAGCTTTAAAGACAAATGGCTCAATTTTCCTAACCCCACGCAACTGGTATTGAACTTTCCATAAATTAATAAGTTATGAGTCGCATCGAACAGCTTCCATCGAATGTAATGTGTTCCATTTAAGTAAACATTTAATGAGCCAGTTCGATACAAAGATTTCAATTTTCCGTTCCAATTTTTCTATTGATCAAAAATTTATCAACCTTTTTTTTCTTTGGTTCTTTGTGCTTTACTTTCATTTTTTTTTGCTGTGTTCGACCCTCTCCGGTGTACTATATTATGCTAAAAGCCATCACATTTCCATTTCTGGCTCGATGTTATAAAAAGCTATTGTAATAGAACAACAGAATATTATAAGAGACTCCGGTTGTGTCCCTTTGTCTTTTTTATTTCACAAAGAATTGCTTGCGATGTGAAAATCGACATGAGAAAATCAAAACTATTTGCCGAGAACATGCTTTGAAGGCTTTAACGAAACTACATTTTTAATGTGATGAAACTAATGAAAATTTATTCTACATGGCTTTGCACTTTTTTTTTCTTTCTTTTTCTTCCATTTCTGTCGTGCGGAACCTTTCTTGGATATTATAAAATCTTATATGTCATGTGTAGTGAAGCCCCTTAGGAGATTCTTGTTCGTTGCTTTTGTTTCTATCAAAAAATCACAGGTCAGGTAAAAGAAACAAGGATATCTACATCTCCATCTAAAAAGAAATTCATATTTCTTGATGCGGGTTATCTTCATTGAAAAATCTATGCATGTAATCAGGAATAAAGGCAAATTAAATTTGATGTCAGATTCTGTTTACATAATCAAAAAAGGGGCATTTTTGTCAGTAACAATGGCTTGGAAAACACATTCAGAAAGAGAGAAAATAATAAGTTGAACAATGGCAACGGTCTGATGAAAGTAGCAACAACAAAATGGTAGTAAAGCTTGATATAATGAACTTTAGTGACACTGTAAGAGCTTCGGTTGAATGGATCTGCTGCGACAAGAATATTTCGATGGACATCGTGCATAAATTTCAATGAGCAAGAGAATTGAAAAACAGAAAGTCAACGACGCTTGTTTGAAGTTTTGCGTTTCAGTAAATATTGTCAGCCAAATGAGATCTTTGTCAATTTATTAAATGATAGCCACTTCTATGCATCTGCTCTTCTCGTCTCGAATGTGTAAATATAACAAACCTTCAATAACGTACACACAATATGTTATGTTTATAACCCATGAGTTAAATATATGTGTGCTCACTCATCACGATGAGAGAATTGAAAAGTTTTGCCTCCCTTGCCATTATCAAATATCGTTCGCATAAATGTAGGGCGATTAGGAACATTCCCAAAAGTAAATATTTGACATAATTTAAACATTGTTACCGAATATTTTCATTACGTGTCGGCAAATATTTATCTTATATCTATGATCTCTTCTTATTCTTTTTGTCATCCTTAACTCACTTGAGTAAAGTGGATGTGCACACAAATTTGAATGAGTATCGGTTTGAATTAAAATAAGAAGTGACAAAGATTACTTTTCCTTTCGCTTGCTTACATATACACACCCCCACATAAAAGTATTTATAAATATCTCCATGACTAACAACAATGACGTATTTTTAAAAAGCGAAACAGAAGAAAAGAAAAGAACTTTGGATGCTTCAAAGCTTTATGTCTTTAAAAGCTTCGCTCTTCTTCTCTTTTTCAATGAAATAAAAAATAACGCAAAACGCAAGAGCCCGCATCACATCCGTACAATTTAATAAATGATATTCAAGAGGGAAGAATGAGAATGTTGAATAAATTTGTGTCTTGGCGTGAAACATTTAAATTAAAGATTCATATTGGAAGGGAAATTATCTTAAAAATGTATGATAATGAGATGCGAATAACGACTTCACTGAACACTTACGACATCAATAATTTGCATAAGCGTTAGTCCAAAGCTCAACTGAAGAGGATCCGATTCATTAGCCACCGGACGCTCCAAAACATTATAATTATCCAATAAATGATGCAATAATCGCTTCTCGTGTGTTCCAGCATGTGTGCCTGAAAGAAAGTTATTTGATTTCTTCCTATGAACTGTCGTTTCAACGTTTTAAATGAAATTCAATTAACAGAAGTTGAGTTGGAAACTAATTATATGTGTTGCTATTTTATAAATTTGCGGAAGGGACGAAACGAGAGCTCATTAGTGTGGTAAATTACGATTATAATTGCTTGAAATAAAGTTGGTTTGAGTAATAAAAATAATGTGAGACTAACAAAGTCCAGTTAAAGGTTTTTAACGACATCGTGAGAATCCTTCGAGGGAGAAAGTTTTCAAACAATTGAAAAGAAAGCTCCTTTAAACTTCTTCTCGTTGGCGTTGTTGTAATAAAAAGCTACAAACGGAATTGTTTTCAAATTATACATCACGACTTTCTCTCTCTTTCCTTCGTTTTTAAAACCAATCTTCAATAATTGAACTTGGAAGGTCTGAATCTATTTCGACAGTTCTACATTTTGTCCAATTTGTGTCGAATAAAATTATAAAAAAAGCAGTTCATGAATAAATCAGAATTATAAATGTGGAAGTAAATTGTTTACGACAGGAACTTTGCCAATGATTTTGATTAAATTTTCTTCAGTATTTTTACTTATTGGTTACATAACAGCAATGATTACTTAAAAAATATCTGAAGATGAAACTTTTTCAAGCTTCTTTGTAAACATGAAGTTAAGTAGCTCTGAAAGCTTTTTCCTTTTGCTTTAAACTTTTACTTTATGAAGAAGAACAAACTCAAAGTAGGAAGAAGAAAAATTTGGATAAACGAGAAGCTCCAACACAAAATTTACTTATTTTTAAGAAAAAGTTTTAAGTTCCGATCTTCATCATTTCTAAGTTAGAGCATATCTTATGAATTAATTAGAGAATAATGGTAATGAGAAAGTTCCTTTGTTCAAGAGCTTTTTTTTCTAAGCTGAATTACAAATATTATAATCCTCTTGCTTCTTTGTTACGGAATGAAACTTTCACTTCTTTAATTAGACAGAAGAAGTTTTACAAGCATCAATTTACACCAGGAGGTTAAGGTTGTACATTAGTTATGTATACTCCTATATACAAAGTGATGAAAAGAATACAAGTTGCTTCTAAAGCTACAATAATTCATTAACATCTCAACTCAACATCAACATCGAAACTTAAATCATTAATCACAAACTCACCATTCAAAAGAGTCAGTAGCAAACTAAATCCATATAAAAGTGACGTGACTAGAGATGAAGGTAGAGCAGGCATATTTCTTATCTTATAAATTGTAATTATGAGTGTTAGGAAAGAAAACATGATGTGCCTCGCACACACATCCACAACAACAAGCACAACGCGGCGCGCACTAAGAAAAAGGACGATAAAGATTTTTCACTGAGCTTCTAAGGGAAAGAACTTTTACAATTCACCATGAGTCATTAAATATTGACCATTTGCTTTATTAATTAATTTTTTATGTTCCTCCTTTGAACACTATTTTATACCTTTTTATTATATTATTAGATTTATTTTTGAGTATAGAAAACGAAAATCTTTTTGTTACTTATTTAAGATTTCTAACGTTATGTAAAAAAATGAAACTTTTTTTCCTTCTTTTATTACTCACACTTCACTTTATATTGTAGACTTGCAATTTTGTTTTATTTGTGGTGCTTTCTGCTACAAAATCATTCTCGAACGTTTTTTCATTTTCCTTTTTCTTTCGATATTTTTCAGGCTCTTTATTTATTTTGCGAATTCCGCAGCCGTTCGCATAAAAAGATTTCTAGTGTTGAGGAAATAAGTTTATCATTGTTAAGTTATCCATGCCTTCTACTCACTTACGAAATATTACTCCATGAGGTGGCTTTTGAAATTCAATTTACTTTGCATACATCAAAACACAATTTCTCTTCACTGTTCTTGTCTGTTGGTTTTTCCCAGATTTCCCCACTGCACGATAACGAACAATTTATTAAATCTCTGAGCTGCTATCAGCCTCGTTATTTGGCAGTGCAAACAAATAGCGATTCGATCGAAGGGAAAAGATGAATTGATTGAAATCAAAATTTACACAAGAGAGAGAAGCTGCTCATGCAATAATGTTGAACAAAACTGGAGCAAATGCACATTGAGTCGTCGTAAGAATGCCAAGAAATTTCTTGTTTTCGTTTTTCCTTACTTTTCATTTATTTCTGTGTCATTCTTTCTTTTATGTGTTTCACTCTTTTTCTTTTCAATCCCCTAATGCGCGACTCTTTGGAAAGAGCACAACTTTTGTGAATCGATGTTAAGTTGTCATCTTTTCAGCCATCATCATCAACAAGGATGATTGTTAAACTGAGAGAATTTGCATGAATAACTAATTACTTTAAATTTTCTTCTTGTTTATATTTTCTTGAATTTTCACAAAATTTTCTCTCAAAATCATCTGCGTTTACTCATGCCATGAGATGATACGCAAAGAGAGGCTCAAAGCACAACAATTTGTATGCGAGTGCAACATTAAATACTATTTTACGCTCACGAGATAACTCTTCGTCGGCTTTTTGCCACTTTCCACTCGCCCGTCACTTGAGCAGCTCAAAGCGCCATTAAAGATTCATGAACGAAAGAAGAAAAACAGAAAAAGCTAATTTTTCATTCCGCATAAATACGACGTGTTGGAGTAGGAAAAGTTTTCATTATGCTTGTTCATTCACTTCACTGACTGTTATCAACTTACACATGCACAAAACGTAATCTAAATTGAACCAACATCAATGGGTTAAAGCACTGAGTTTTCTTTTATGTTATTTTTATGAAAATTGTGATACTTTGTCGTCTCCACTTTCTATTCTGTTTTACTTTTATATCTTCGAATAGGGAAAGGAGGGAAAAGAATAAACGATATTATAATTTTTAGCCAGTCAGGCGAACCGAGAAAACGACAAAAAGTGATATTGAGAAGGAGTGCGAAGAAATCCAATAATCCAAATAGTGTACCGGGGGATTTTAAATAGTATCGGCACAGAGGTTCGTTATTGAGGAAACATAAAACAACAGAAAAAATAGGGAAAAAAACTTTTCACTTTGATAGATGATATTAAAAATTATGAACACTTTTCTTTTTTTTCCTTTCCTGTCCTTGTTGCCTGTCTGAGAGAATCCTCTGTTTTAAGTGTCAAACATGGGAGACGGTTCAAACAGGTCCGATTATTTCACTGATACTGAAACTCCAAGCGACACATCATAGAGCTTTTATGCAATGCACGAGAGAGTAAGGATGCCGCTCTCACTTTGCTTTCTTTCCTGTCTTGCATTCTGAGATGGAAGCTTCTCTCGCGCAGCATCAGCAGCAACACTAGTTGTCTCATTTCCACGATTCACTTTATGCTTTTATATACAAAAGATTCTTGAATGAAATTCAACACACAAAAAGGAAAGCAAGAATATCTCAAATGCAGTTTATTGCGCAAAAATATAGAGAATATATATATTTAAAGAAGATTACACGAAAGCTGAATGGAGAAACTTTTTCTCCTGATCTTCTTCATTTCTGTAAAAATTGTCGGTTGGCTATTACATATCAAAAAGCATACAATGTAACTGAATTATAAAAGCATATTTTATGTTTCCTTTCCCCCCCTTCCATTTGTGTTTCTGTTCTCTATCGCATCATAATATGATTGTTGTATGCTTTTTATATCACCAGCAATTCTCTCTCGCGCGCTCAAGAAGCGGAAATAAAAATAAACAGAAATCTCTCAATTGGGACGACTTTTCATCTCTTGTTTTCATAACTTTTATTATATTTTTGTAACGGAAGGAAAAAGAAGCATAAGTAAGAGAAGATAAAAAGAAAAGCTTCTTTTTTTTGGCGCATAACAAATGCATCTATAATCAAGACCTTCAGTCATGAGAGATTCACATTATGTACTTGAATAATAGAACTCTGGATGTGTGATGATAAATCATGCTTATGTGAACGACAAAAAATATTTTGTCCATTTCTGTGTATGACAGAAACATGAAACAATATAAAAACAGATGATAAAAAGCTTCATGTTATGCACTGTTGTTTTATTATTGCTTTTGTTACAGTTCCAAGTGCTTTATTATTGATTTATAATTATTTTCGTCGTTAGTTTCACTGTTGGCATTGCATTGCAAGAAGTTAAATACCGAAAGTTGCTTATTCAACTATTTACACGTCCCGATAGAAAGCTTAGATCCAAACAAGGAGAAAAATTAACCAAGTTACTTGCAAAATTTACATACATACACAAATGAGACTCACTCGAAAGAATAATTTTATTTTGAACACAACACAACATAAAAAAATCGCTTATTCATCTTTTAAAGAAGATAGAAAAGCGAGAAGTCAGCACATTCGCCACAGCAACCTTTTTTCGTTCACAAAAATTTTTCCCATAAAGGAGAAAATGAAACCAAGAGACGAAGGAAAAACTTTCTACATGCTCAATTTTATATCAAAATGTAAAAAGTCCCTTTATGTACATAAATATTTGGGGATTTCTTCATCCGCTTACACTTCATATCTATTTCTGTTTCATGGAAACTCGTGAAAAAGTTAAACGAAAAGAACTAGCAAAAGATAATAGCACGTAATTCATCGATGAACATCATGAAAAGTTTCACGACGCGAATTGTTCTTCAAATGGGAAAGAGGGGAAATAGCGGAAAAATGGGAAGGGAAAAGTTGTGAAAATCCATTACAAACAGCACGGGGGTGGAATAACTAATTCAATCGACAAATCGTAAATAATGAGATTGTTGAAAAATGTCAGTTGCATTGCTTGTAGCGGTCAACGAGCAATAAAAAGAGGGATGAGAAAAAAAAAAACAGAAGTAAAGAAGCAGGTTCAAAGGTTCAACAACAGGATGATTTATAGTTAGGAGTGGGAAAACTTTACTCTTTACGACAACTGTGACTCCAGCTCAAACGAAAATTGATCATGAAATTGTTTTATGATGCTATGATAAGAATGTTAGACTTGAGATAATGTTTCGTCGTCGTCGTTCTCGTCGTTGTCCCAATAGACTCGTAATAAAAACCATAAACAAATCAATTATTCCACCATATTTATTTCCAAGTAATCAGATATGAGTGCAAATTGTCGAATGGGATATGCTTCGTTCAAAATAATTGGAAGGAAGCTGGTAAGGTCAATAGAAGCTTACTACATAAAATTAATATATTCGGTCAGCAAGGATTATTGGCAGAGCTAATTCAACTGGGAGTTGATCTTAATTGAAAATGTTGATTAATACAAGCGAGACATAAAAATATAATTTACGACCAAAGCCAAGTCAACAGCAGAAAGAAGAAGCGTTTTCTTCTCAACTTTCTAACGTGATGCCTATTAAAGATCCATAAAATATTTTTTTTATTCCTTTCTCGCATTCTTCGTGAAGAAGGAAAAGTTTACACACAAAATCGCTTTTAATTTTAAAGCTTTCTGTCATTAAAAATGTATGTGACTACAAGATCAAAAAGTTACAAGTCTCACCTCCAAAACACCGGAAAGTAAAATAAAACAAATTGCGGTGGAACTCATGTTGGAAATGTATTTTTTTTGATGCTTCAGGTTTATGCGAGGGGAATAAGTTTTTACTTCGTTCATACCCGAAATGCGTTTACTACAGCTTTTAAATTTTATGTAGTTGACAGTAAAGAGTGAGAGCGACGATTGAAGAGAAAGAAAAAATCGATGCAGATTTTGAAGCATGCGTTTGTTGCCTTATAACCACGTGGATGCTGTAAACGGTGGGGATGATGAAGTGGGGAATTTATGTATACATAGGAAAATTAGAGAATGAATCATGTTGTGAAGATTAAATGAAATTGATACTAAAAAGTAAAGAGAATTGACAAGTTTTATGAGTGAAACACTTCCGGATGGTGTCGCTGAAGACTCTCATACATTTTCTCAATAGACTTTCGTAGGCATATCAAAACTTTTGTTAAATTGATTTCAATGAAAGCTGCGAAAAGAAAATAAGGAAAATTTGCAGCCATTAGAAATTGGCAAAAGTTTTAAAAATATTTTCTAGGAACTTATGCTACAAAGTGGTGTAGATAAAATAGAAATAATTAATTTAGTTTAATTGAAAGCATCTAGAAAATTTGCAGTTAACCGAGAAACTTTGAGAATATATGAGAATGGGTTATGAAAGCTTTTATGTTAATTGAGAGCTTTTGTAAAACTAGATTAAGAACATACGCCACAACCTCTATAAATGACAATGTCTACAATGTATGTTCTCATTTGTAATTCTCGTTAATTTTTGTTCCTTTATTCTTAGACATAAGTCACACTCACAACATTTTATGAGTTATTTAACTTGTATTTAGAAACTTCTAATTGAAATTTCCTCACAAATGTGAGGTTGGAACCGTTCAAATACTTTTAAAATTTATTACTCACATGAAACTGTTGAACGGTTCCACAAAACATTTGAAGTGATCTCGTCAGAATTTTTCTGTTCAAATTTTCAAAGCGAGCTTTTAATCGTCTCTAAAACTGTAATTCTTGTTTATAAATATAAGTTCGTTTGTGCGAAAAAATTTGAACTCGTTCCAAAATGAAATATGATTTATTACTAAATTGCACCACATTCGACACGACCTTTATCGTGTAACAAAATACTGAAGTATGGGAAGTCTCAACAATCTTTCCGTTGTCCGAATCGATGTAAAATTTTAAATTAATGCCTTGATCGAATATAGCAAATTGAATATGGCTTCAGAGTGACTTCGGATCAAGCATTCATTAATCAATGAGAAGATTATTGCAAAATCTTTACCCTGAAAAATTATGTTTCTCGATATCGTCGAAGTTTTCTAATTCATAAATTTTCTTTCAAGTACTTAGGAGACTTCAACATACGAGGGGTAAATGATCAGTTCCCACATGCTAATTTTGATTTCTCTGGTTATCAACTCTAGTTCAGATCTGTTTTTATTATTCTTTCATAATTGCCAATGTCTGGATTTTAAAAAATCGAGGCATCTTTGTTTCAATTGCTATTCAGTCGCGATCGTGATAATAGTGAACGGGGGAACGTTTCCAATTATTTGTGATTTGAATGTCTACACTTTCTAATAAAGCGACAATGACTACAACAAGTAATAATGAGTCAACAAGAACACCTTTATCAGTTGTGAAGTTTCTTGAATTAGTGAGCGATAAAGAATAAGAAAGTTCATAAATGATGAAAATAATTTTAATCTCTTCTTTAGAGTCTCGCGATTTGTTGTACATATTTTCACTTCTATTCATTCAGTGATGACGATTTGGTGACGGAATTTCTCGCAACAGGCACATTCTGTGGATATGTAATAATTCTTACAGCTATCATGGCAGGTATGAATAGGAATTAAAAAATCAAACGTCATGACTAAATGAAAAAAAGAAAAATTAATTAAAGATTGGATTGCAGGGTATCTAATGAAAGCGAATATCAACAAACGAATCATGCTATTTTATAGTCTACTGGGTTCCGCTTTGTTCATAACATCAGGCGTCTTCATAATTCAATCATGGGATCGCGCTTTCCGAACACGAACGCGTGACTTAGCGATGACTAAAGGTGTTGTCTCCATCATCAATGGCGTCATTTTTTTCATGGACACGATATTCACGTTTCGTCAAAAAAAGTAGCCACTACAGGTCGAGTCTCCAGAGAATGAAAGTATCGAAAAAAGAGACTCAGAAGATATTCACAAATATGGTTTCAAAATAACGTACTTGAAGACAGAAAAACAAAAGCCACCAAGACCCTCCAAAAATCACCTTCATTACCATCTTCAAACGGCTTTGAATTAATTTCTTTTTATTAGAATTTCTTTGCCTTCTTTTGCTGTTTCATGTGTAATATAATTTTTAAAACGTAGTCGTTGTTCTTGCTGTCCCTTCTTCAATATTCTTCTCTCCCTAATTTTCAATTCATCGTCGTAATTTCTTCTTTTTTTTCATTTCCTATTCACAAGGTCAAATGGTCGATGTTTTATGTTATTGTTTTATTCTTGATAGCATTTATGTGAAAAGTTAATTAGATAGGTAGTTGCTTCTTTCTTTCTTCATTCGATGCTCGCGTTTTAATAGGAGAAGTAAAAAATTATTTTTTAAGTTAGAGAGAAGAGTTAAAACAAGAAAAGATGAATTTCAAGAAGTAATTTAAGACTTTCGTAATTTCTCACGCTTGTTGATTTCATTTTTACATCAGATCGTGAATTCACGGTTCCATGCTTGAAACCATTACATGAAAGCATTTTATAAAAATAGATCGAAAGAATGAAAAGCAATCTTGAGTTTGGGTCAGAATTGTTTTTGAATCAATTTCAAGATTCGCTGGTGTTGGTGTGAAATGAAAATTGTTTTCTGGTGATGTAACTTCATTTTTTGCCGCTGAATAAATTGAAAGAATTCTCAAGAATCATCTGAGAATATTAATTACAAAGTCAAACACATACTCCACTTGTGTCAAGCTCAGCATTTTATTTTATACACAAAACAAATCTTGTACGAGTTTCTCATTTTAAAAATGAAAACTCAACAAGCAAGAATAAGATTTTTGATGACCTCATAACCTCATACACATAACCGCGCCTGTTACATTACAAGAAATGCTAGAGAAATGTATCATGATGTGAGATTTATAAAATCGTAAAGCAACAACAAATTTTTTAAGTTTCTCATTCAAAACATTTTTATTCATTTTTTATTCTTAAATTGTGACATCAGAAAACTTTTCAGAACTATCAATACAAAGTCGCAAATTAATTCTGTGTTTTAGTTTTATGAAAAAAAAGAAGAAATGTTCGATTCTCGATGACTTCATCAAAGTATGTTTAATTTGTTAATTTTTTTCGTAGGCAACTGGCAAGTTTTAATCCGTAATAAAACCCCACAGATTCTCAAACCTTTCCCTTACTAATACGAATATTCCAAGTATTGGTTGTTGAGAACAATCGAAGAGACGCTTGGGTTTTAAAAAACAATTTTTCTTTGCACACAACGTACAGTCAAGTTTTTGCCGTCAAACCGTTCGGACGTGAAATTTCTCTCTTACGAAACTAAGAATTTTTTGTAATTGTTGTGTGTCAACAAGTGGTGTACTATTGTGCTTTAAAATCAAACAAATCAAAAGATAAACAATGGCTTTGAGCAGATTATCATTCATCAAACTCGCCGAGTTGGTAAGTAAAGTTTGAATTGAGATTTTTATGAATATTGTATTAAATGATAGAATATCTTTGAAAGCGATCAATTCGCTTGTGGCTTTTTTCCTTCATCGTATATAATTTCTGTGGGATTGTCGTCGTTATTTTTATTTCCATTTTCGTTGCTTTTCTATCGACTCTTCGACAAAAAAAATGCTCTTACCATACCCACAAAACAAAAAGCGTCTCAGTCATATTATGTTCCATTTGACAGAATTCGAATAAGGGCGAAGGGAGACATTAATTTTATAGACGCAGAATGTCTGGAGCCACTGGTTGATTGTGCGTAGCATAGACTTTGACAGAGAAGGCGACAATAGGAAAATCAATGTTTGCAAACAATTTTCCTTTTTTTTCTAGTGAAGAATTTTGAAGGTTTTTTTTTCTGCGTTTTACTTCCGATGAGTCATTAAAAGCTAAATATGCGACGTGTAATAAATATCTAGTTGATTGTGATGACTTCGCTGTCATTCCTGCACGTTTGAATGTTATTTAATTTGTTGAAAAATGAAGCCGTTAGTTCAACTAAGTAACTGAAATTTGAGCTTTGAAGGAAATTGTTTTTAATGCAAATATCTTCCTTCGCCCGCTCGCGGTCTTCGTCTTCGCTCCAATCATTGGAGCTAATAAAAAATTATCAAATAAACACGCGGACAGGAAGACAATTTAGAAAATATTCTGAAGTTGTTCACAAGCATTCAGCATATGAAACAAACACATTGAATGCAAACACGACTTTAGATGGATGAGTGATGTCATCTTTTTGAACGATGCGTTCATTCGAGCTTCTAGAGTTTCGTAAAAAAAAAAAGAAATAAACTTATTTTTATAGCTTTCTTCTGCCTCGTACGATCACGAGTTTTTATAACACATGTAAATCGTTGGTCGAGTTGTAACATACCGGCATTCATGTTAATATCGTACTGAAAATATTGTGAAATGTGAATGAAAATGACGACGCCTAAAATTCCACTTTTCGCTCTATTTTTGTTTAATTTTTAATTCAATAAACCAGGCCAATTACAAATGCTGATAATTTATTGCACTCATACGTGTTATCTCTCAAATTCAATCTACAACCAACCATATTTAAAGCTTCATACGTTGAAACACTGTTTGCGAACATAACTTTGGTCAACAAATGCCTTTAATTTTATTCGTTGATGGATTAGCACAACAATGTTGTTGGCGGAGTTCAATTTACTTAAATTAACAATGAAATTCCATTCTTTCATTCAAAATGACATAATTTTTTATTATTGAGCGGATATGAGTGAAGAACTTTTTCATTCAAGATAACATTGTATGACAAACTTCGAAGCAATCATAATTTCTTTTTAAATTCAATTTTAAGACGAACTAAATTGTGAGTTGTAATGATATAAGTAAGCAATAATTGTCGAGAAAAAGGTTTGCCATTGAAATTATTAATCATCATGTTTCTCTATTCATTTCATGGCTTCTATGAAGTCATACACAACGCTGACGAATTACGAATTAATGATGCTAAAAATAGCAAAATAAGATTTCTCATCGCTTCATAATTCTCTTTAATAAACATCCGAGAATCTTATCATAGATTTTCGTGATTTGCTATCCAAGCAGCATAACAAGCTTGTGACTAAACACGTTCTAGTTGCTTCTTTCTGGTTTGTGATATTTAAAAGTCTTCTCAAACAATCTTTCAGCATATCGTTAATGAATGGCAGTGTAAAAAGAACAGCATTGGACCTTGAAGTGTTTCGTCGAAGAAGAAGCAAAAAACATTTTACAACTTTTGCTTTCAAAGAAGTCATGTCGGAAGATTGTTTTTGTGGGAATAAAAATACTCGCAGTTTCATTGACGAAAAATTTCTGCTTTTCGTGCGAATTTAATTGTCTGGCCTTAATTTAACAATAATAAAAAATGCAAAATTCTATTGAATAAACTTATAAATATGTTGAAGCATTTAAAAAGGAAAAAAAAATATTCGCGGTCACTTACTAGTGTCGAATAAATTACCGTTTAGCAAAAAAAAGTTGCGTTTCCAATGAGATCACTCAAGTTACGTTATTAATAGGCTAACATGGCGTGATTAATAGCTGGTGATGGTGAAGTAATGAAGTAAAGTTAAAGAAGGTGTCGTCGAATGACAACCTCGCCCTATGGAATTTCGGATTTGTGACTTCACCCATCAACAACAAACAGAAGCATTTTTATTCTATTTCCGATTTCAACAAAAAAATGTTGTAGAACATTTTAAGAGCCACTGGTGTATTCAATACACTTAACATTCGTGTTTTGCTTGTGTTTGCTTTGTTTAGATGCTTTCGATATTAAAGAACAAGCTTCACATATGAAAAGAACAAAAGATTTTATTTTTTTACGATCACCGTTTCCTTTTTATGGATCTGTCTCATCAAGGCAAGTTCCTACGCAACTTTTTGGCGGCCAATTTCAATTAAAAATTTTGTCTCTGTGAAACTTTGAAATGAAGATGGATTGAGTTTTGACAGTTGTTAAAATTGAATTTATTTTACAGGTCATTACAATCACATGTATGGTCCTTCACTACAACTCAGCTGGAGAAAATGTCGACGCACATTCAGCTATGCTTATTAACGGAGTATTCGTTGGATTTACAATCATCTTGGTTGCTTTGTTTGCTGGATACCTCATGAACACTCCAATCAACAAGAGACTCGGTAAGTGATAAAAAGAAATAAAATATTTTATAGCAATACTAATCAAGTTTTCTCTCACTAGATCTCTTCTTCTCGTTGGTTGGAGCTGCTGGCTTCATCGCATCGGGAATCATCATCATCAACCACTGGAATGATGACTCTGTCAGTGCTGTCACCGAAAAGTTAGGATTCAACCGTAGTGACAGAAAAACTCTTGGATTGGCTAAAGGTGGACTTGCAATCGTCAACGGAATTCTTTTCTTAGTCGATGTCGTCTTCACATTCAGAGATTAAAAAGCGTTCACGACAAGCCAATAAGAATCTCATAAACTTATCTTCGCTTCACAACGCTTTTGTCATCACACTCATTTGCATAAAATTTATTGCTATTATTCATTTTTTTCATAATTTTCCTCAATAACAAAACCCTAAAATGGACCAAAATCTTCAAAAAAAAAATGTAAACAAAACTAAAATTTACATCGAGCAGGGTACAAAACAAGAATCAAAATATTTCACAGATTTTTTGTTCTTTTCAATAGTTTTCTAGATATTTCTAAGCGCTTTGATATCACAATATATTGTATGTATGTTGCGTTATGTACATCTTACAAATGTCTTGACGAAAAATTTGCATTTGGGCTTACCACTTGTATCTTCATTTTTTCGTAGATCATCCAACATGTCTTTGGATGGTCTTCGAAAAAATGAAGATGCAAGTGATAAACTAAACCCAAATGCAAATTTTTCGGCAAGACATTTGCAAGATGTACACAAAGCAATGTATCACATTAAAATAATTAGGGTTTGACAAAAATGATCACCGACTGATCATCGTCAGTGATAATCAAACCCTACAAATTTATAAGAAATTGCGATTAAATTCCAAACACATCCATGTAAAGCACAGAAAGAAAAGCTTCAACAAATTACAAATATAAATGTTAGATATATTTATCTACACCAAATCAATGTAAATTTCATTTTGATGTGAAATAAAAATACAATAGAAAGAAATGAATTTTTTTTAGAAAATATCTTTCAAATTTATTGAGAGAAATGTTGAAATTTACAGCATAAAAGGGAAAATAAAATTATCTTAGTCAGTTCCTAGTAATTCTCTGAGTTCATTGTCGAAAGTTGAGACAACTGGTGGTTCCAAATCCATATCGATTGGTGTTGTATCAACCAATGATTCTTTGCTGCTTCGATTTGTGTTGAAATTGATTGGAATTTTCCTTGCATCGTCATCGAGTTGAGCTGGTGAAATTCCCATTGCTTTTCTCACACCAACTGTCGAAGCGATTGCACATGGCGGTAATTTCTTTGCAATCATTGTAAGATTTGATGTTATCTGATCAGCAAGTTCAACTTCTTGTTTATTTGGATGTGGAACGAGACTTAAATGTTGTTGAATTGGTGCTGACAAACGTTCATGTTGAACTTGATGAAGTTGTTCAATCAAAGATGTGTTTGAATCTAACTTTGTTTGCAATTCTTCTTTCACCGGCTCTTTCATTGTTTTCTCAAACTCTGTTAAGAAGCTTATATCAACACCAAGATCGTCTTTCAATGATTTCAGTTGATCAAAGTCAATTGTCACATTTTCCAACCGTTTCGATTCTTTCTGGTAATCAGGCAATAATTCGTCAACTTCCTTCTGAACTTGTTTCACATTTTCTGACTCCATTAATACTTCCATCGTCTTACTATGTTCACCATTTGTCAGCAAGTCTAAAAGTCTGTTTGCTAAAGCATTGCCATAAGCCGAATCTTTCGTAAATCGTCCAATTGAAGTTGCATAGTTTGCGCCATTCTCATCACCGTAAGTGTTAAGAATCAATTCGGTTTCTTCTTTAGTCAAATTTGTAAATCGAGAATCAAATGTTGGTGCAAAAGTACTGAAAGCTCCATAATCCAATAATTTCGGAAGTTTCACAATATTTCTTCGATCTTCTCGGAACGATTGAAGCAATCCAGTTCCCTTTTGTAATTTTCCCGTCAATTCTCCAATTTTCTTTGTTTTCTCGGGAATTCCACTCTCAGATGGAACGAGAATTGTCATTGAAGTTGTGCCATCATGATGAGTGCGAAGGAAGCCCATCGAATGAGCTCTTTTCTTACTTAAACGGGCTTTCACACTTCGAGATGCTTTCTGCACTTGTTCAAGAATCTCATCAGGTGTCAGATTGTCAACGAAAGGTTCGTAAGCTGTCTTCGGATCTAATTCAACTTTCATTCGTTCGCGTCTTTCTCTTTCTTCTCGATGAGGGTCTGGTTGATCATTTAATGCTGACGTCGCTCCTTCATCAGCTGAATCGACACTGTAAGCTTCATCATGATGCTCCAATTTAATAGTTGGATCAAAGCCAAGTTCTTTAATTGACAAATCTTTTAAGAAAATTGCAACCGGTCCACGTGTAAGATTTTCTGGTTGAAGTAAACGCATTCCAGCTTGTAACAGTCGTCGTGCTGCTTTGTTATAAACCGTTTCATGATGATTATATCGAATAGCGTTGTCACACATCAATCGGAAGTCTTCAATGAAATCGGTTAACAAATGATATTCGTTCTCCTCAATCTTCTGTCGAATTGTACTGAAATCCATGGGACGAGTGATGATTGAAGAGTAGCCAGGAGCAATGTCGTCAGTTACAGGCCATGCGAAGAATTGATGTGGATCGCGCTTTTCTAATGCTTTCAATAAATGGTCAAGAAGTTTTGCCAGTGGACTTCTCGATTGCTTCAACTTCAAGACGCATGTTCGAGGCTCTCTAGTACCTGAGTCCATAGATGAAGGCGTCATTGGAGAATCTTGATGACCAAGAGGAGTTTCTGGTTTTGTTTCGACACTTGAGACGCTCGGAACGTTCTGAAGAGTGTGAAAAACTTTTGGATGGTCTTGTAATGGAATCATCGGTTTTGTTACAGGATTTGATGATATTGCTGAAGAAGTGGACATTGCAGAATAGTAAAGTTGAGCACTTTCAGTCATCAATTGACTACTGTCGTCATCATCCATCAATGTTGCGTCCTCACCACTTGAGCCATGTCGATGATGTCGATCTTTCTTATGATGTTTATGTTTCTTCTCACGATCCTTCTTCTTTTTCTTCTTTTTCGATTTCTTATGCTTTTCACCATGTTCGGAATGAGATTGAGTATTGTCGAAGAGCATTGATGATGAATGATCTGGATGATGAATTGCTGCATTATAAGGAGAATCGCTAGAGCCGTATTCAGGTGTTCCATTCACTTTAAGAATTAATTTAAGACTTGGTGGTCGTTCTAAAAGAAACATTTTATGAATATATTAGATTATTTCCGCAGAAAGAAACAAACGTTGTCTTTCCATTGTCATCAGCGTTACGAAGCCAAACAAAATTTTACTTTCGTTAAACTTACCATCATATTTCGATTTTCTCTCTGATTTATGTTTTTTATGCTTTTTGTGTTTCTTTACTGGTTCCATTTTGAACGTTTTTGGTGCACCTGTGGACTCTTTTGATAGTTTTTTCTCTAAAATTTGTAAATCAAAGCAAATTTAGGTTTGTTTTGATCGGACTAAGTGCGGTTCGAACTAAATATATTTAGTGAGCAATCGTCAATTGCTCATTTGAAATGTTGCTCAGATTTTTGTTTACATTTTTAAGAAATTGTGAAATATTGAGCAAATTAAAGATATCGATAGAATCATGAAGAGAAGACCGCCACTAGATGATGACAATGGCTTTGCCCAGCACGGTGGCTATATGTCAGCTAAAATCACTAAATTGGAAGAACAATTCAACACAATTCAGTCAGCTTGCAGACAGAAATCGAAAATTTTTGAAGGAATTTCAATTTTTGTTAATGGCTTCACAAATCCTTCAGGTGAAGAGTTGAAAAGAATAATGATGGAGCACGGAGGTAGGATAACTAGTATGCTGTAGTTGAATTATTTAATTTTATTTTCATTTAAAGGAACTTTTCATCATTATCAAAGATCGCACACAAAATTTGTGATTGCATCAAATTTGCCGGACGTGAAAGTGAGAACAAACATCACCAGAAACATTGTCAAGCCAGAATGGATAAGCGACAGTTTAAAGGAGAATAAATTATTAGATTATTCCAAATATCTTCTATACACAAACAAAAATCGCGCCCAACCACAAATTTCATTCAAAGCTTTGAATAAAAATGAATATGAAGTGAAAAAAGAAGAAGTCGATCCATTCTCCCTAAGTTTACAAGCTTTAAATGATAAAATCAAAGATGAATCAATACCTGAAGGCAAAACTGGAACTGCAGTTGATCCGAATTTCCTTGAAGAATTTCTCAACAATTCCCGTTTGCATCACATCGCAACTTTGGGTTCAGGCTTCAAATTTCATATCAATGATTTACGTAAAAATCATGACGGAATTTTCCCAGAAAGAGAAATCTTAAAATCTAAATTAAAGCAATCAGAAATGAAAGTTGAAAGTTCTGAAATTGTGATGCATATCGACATGGATTGTTTCTTTGTTTCCGTTTCATTAAAGAAACATCCACATTTGAAAGGACTTCCTGTTGCTGTCACACATTCAAAAGGACGAAACGAATCTGAAGATTTCACTTCATATTCTGAAATCGCGTCTTGCAGTTATGAAGCGAGGGCAAAAGGATTAAAAAATGGAATGTTCGTTGGTGCTGCCTTGAAGTTATGTCCAGAACTTAAAACAATTCCTTATGACTTTGATGAATACCGGAAAACTGCTTTCATTTTGTATGACACAATTGCAAAGTACACTTTGGACATTGAAGCTGTCAGCTGTGATGAATTGTACGCTGATTTAATGCCACTCGTCGAAGAATGTAAAATTGAAGTCATGGACTTTGTGACGATGTTAAGACAGGAAATCTTCGATAAAACTGGATGTACATGCAGTGTTGGCGTTGGCTACAATCGATTGCAAGCACGAATGACAACTAAAGAAGCGAAACCAAATGGCCAATTTTCTCTTCTCGGAATGAATGTTGAAGAGTTCATGAAAGATAAAAAGATTCGAGATCTTCCTGGTGTTGGTCCAAACACAGCCTATCAACTCACTCAATTAAAGATCGAAACATGCGATCAACTTCAAAATTTGCCACTTCAAACATTACAACAAACATTTGGTAAGAAGTTTGGAGAGACTTTGCAAATGATGTCAAAGGGAATCGATGATAAGAAACTTGTGTTTGAACAAGTCAGAAAATCAGTTTCAGTTGAAGTTAATTACGGCATTCGATTCAATGAAGATCAAGAAGTTCATTTATTTTTGAAGCAAGTTACTGAAGAGTTAAGTAAAAGATTGAAAGAGATTAGCAAGAAAGGAAAACTTTTAACTTTGAAGTTGATGATTCGAGCTAAAGACGCTTCAAAAGAAACTGCAAAATTCATGGGACACGGACATGTTGAGAGAATCAGCAAATCAGTTCAATTATTAGCTGCGACTGATGATGCAATAGCAATTCAAACGACTGTGTTGAAGCTTCTTGCAGCTTTTAACATTCCTCCATACGAACTTCGAGGAATTGGCGTTCAAATGTCGAAATTAGATGAAGAGAAGAAAGACAATAAACTTCTTGAAATGTTTAAGAAAGTTGCTGAGAAGCAACAAAACGCGCCGATTCAAGAGAGAATTGAAGCTTCTCCTGTGAAGATTAGAAAAATTTCACCAGTAAAGAAACGTGGTCGACCATCAAAGCTTTCAAATGCTGATCGAAGTTCAAACATCTCAGTTGCTGACATGTTCTCGACAAAGAAGAATTCTCGAGTGTCTGCGAAGAAAACAATTGAAATGATTGATCCAGAAGTGTTGGCAGAACTTCCACCAGAAATTGTTAATGAAATATTGGAAGAATATCAAATGCCTGAAGAAGTTGAAGAAATTCCTGAGATTGAAGAAATATCAGAAGAAAAAAATGATGAAAATATTTTCCTACAATCAAATTGGCGACAAGTCACAAAATCTTTGATTGACAACAACGAAAGTGCAGAACAAATCAAAAACGACGCGGCGTCATTAGTTCGCATTAAAAATATTGATTTAATATATCTTGTTATGAGATTTCTTCATAGAATTATTGAGGAATGTGATGATGAATCGTTAGCATGGCGAGAAAATTACAATGAAATTGCTGAAAGTGTGCAAGAAGAAATGCAAAAGATTTATAAGAAAAAGCTTTCAATACCAAAGAAATTTATTTAAATATTTTATTTCAAGAAAGTCTCATTGAAAACTTTACTTATCTTTTGTGCTTTCCGAACGCCTAAGCCGGGACACGAGTTGAGTTTGTTCTCGGAAGCTTGAATGAGGTTCTCAAGAGTGCCAAAGTTTGTAAGCAAAGTCATTGCGTCGGTTTTATTAACTGATTTGATACTTGTGAGTGCATTAATCACCTAAATAATAAAAAATTTCAAAACAAAGTTTCAATTTCTTTAAATTTTTCACCTTTTGGTAGTCGTCGTTCTCTGATTTTTCCATAATGAAATCCGGCCCGCGTTTTTCAAATAATTTGTAAGTTTCAATTATTTTTCCAGCTTCTTCAGGTGACCAAGCAAGCATCAGAGTGAGATCGGCAAGAAGACAAATTCTTGTCAAATGTTTTAATGCATTTTGTGATTCTTTGATGTCAACATGAACGAGAAGAACGCGCAGTTCGTAATCTTTTCCCAATTCTTTCAATCTCTCATGAATGTAGTCAGGTTTGAGATTATGATATCTTAGTGAAAGAAAAAGAACACAAGCAGATTTTCCCACAACATAGTCAGGCTTGATTTTATCATTATACTCCCAGGGAATGTTTGTAATACTCTTCAAAATGGGATTTCCGCGCTGTTTTGGATTTACTTGAACTGAATTCGAATATTTTGGCTTCTCTGTTATTTCATTTAATTGGTTTATTGGCACAGACTCTTTTGATGTTGATGGAAGATCGCCTTTGGGTTCATTTATGGGTACATTAGTCGAATTTTGTGAATTCGGTAATTCCATAGTTGCTAAAACATCATCAAACGAATCATCGATTTCTTCCATTTTGCAAAGAATGAGGAAGATTGAAAACAAAAATATATGCTCTCTTGAATGTAAATAAAGTTTATTTGATTGATGGTTTCCTTTATTTTCTTTGCAATGATTTTTTGTAGATGTAAACAAATGAATGAATGTAAACAAACAGGAAAATTCGAAGGTTTTATTTGTTGCTCAGTCTTGGGCAATTAAATTAAATTTGAATTCTTCATCAAAAACCGTTTATTTCTTCTCATTCATTATCTGTATTGAGTGGAAGGAAGTTTTGATAATATTTGAGCTTATCAGTAAAGATAAAAAGCCTAAAAGCTTTCAAAAGTTTAATTAAGTAAATAAGCTATGTCATGACTAACAAACCTTGACATTGACACAGCTTGTGAGTAATGTTCACCTTGAAAATAATTTTTTAATCAAACAAAAGTCGAGCTTAAACTTCAAAAACTTTATTTTTAAACAATTAATGTGATTTGTTGTCAATAATTACGTTTGTTTGTTTTCTTCTGGCGTTATTTTTGATCAGCTTTTTCAGTAAAGTTTATTTAATATTTAAAATGTTGTTAGATAAGCTTAGTAATTAGGTGAAGAAAATATAAATTCTATTAACATGTTTGAAACAGTGCATGAATTCTTTAGATATACAAATATTTTTATATACAAAATATGAAATGTTTTATGTTTTATGTGTACATAATATTAATGTACACAGACAATTCTAATTAAAAAAGGGAAGGAAGACAAATTCTCTTAAAGATGATCATCGGTAATAATAAAATCGAAATCATGAATTAAATTAACTAACCGTCCACTATCATACGATTGCAGTCTTGTTAGACACTAAACCAACTTGTGAATTGTTACCAATGCTTGAACCATCTAAAGAATCAAGATCTAATGCGGTATCAATCATTGTGTTTTGTCGAAGAGTTGCCGGAACATTCGACGGCTTTTCCTCAACTGGTGCATGATTTGACTTTTGAATTGCAACATTAAGAACATTCTTCAACTCTATCGAAGTGATTTGTGTCCCAGTTGTTGATGAAGATGAACTAACAGATGGTAAAATGGATTTATTTACTGGTTGCGATGAATCAGTTGATGAAGTGTTGTAAATATTTTGATGGTTGTTGCTGTTGTTATTAATTTTCTCTTTCTTCTTGATAAACGACGATGTCAAAAGTGGATCATCAAGATCCAAGTCGAGGTTGTCACTCATGTAACCATTTGCAGCTTTTATAGTCTCATCAATGTTACTATAAACATGATCAGCTGCAGCGTTCTTAAGAATTATTGGAACACTTGGAGATGTTGGCGGAATGTTACTATAAACATTTTGTGACACATCTTGCGATGTTTTCTCTTCATTTACCTTCACCGGCTGATCAGCAACTAATAAATTATTATAACTCCCTGTCATTGATTTTCTGTGTTCATCTTCCGACACAATTTCATTTAAATCACGTGGCATTTGTGCATCTCTTATGCTGCTTTGCGACACTCGTATTCGTTTATCTATCGTTGATGTGGACGGCACGACAACAGAAGCGAGTGGAAGCTCATTCTCAACTAAATGTGACACAGATGAAGATGATTTATCTGTAAGATGAAATAAAGAAAATGATGTTAAGAAGAAATATTGAACACAAGAGACAAAATCTACTGAACTTTCAAATGAATTATAAGAAATGACAAGCGATAAATTCAAAAAAGCTTCATGCCAACAAATTTCATTTAAAGTTGTCATTTTTCATCTAAATATTTAATGAATTGCACAACATCTATTATGTTGTCTCTACTACTTATAATTACATGCTAAACATAAAAGAATTTACTTTTCATCACGGAAACAAATGATTTCGAAGCAAATAAAAAGTTTTCATTCAATTCAATTTAATTTAATTTGCTTTTTTATTTTTTCCACCAAAACTCACCGCAAAAATTGAGAGAAATTCTTTGAAAACTCCCACAAGCAATTCCGAAAGCAAGGGAAAACAAAAACAGAAGAAAGTGGAATATTGTAATTATTCAAGATTTTTTTCTTTTTAATTTGCTTTTGGGTTTCTCAAACCAACTTTTTTCTTCTTTTTCTAAATATATCAATAAAGTGAGAAATATTTTTAGATTATGTCAAATCACGAAAGCTCAAAATGGATCAAAAATAAATTATGAACTTAGATAATCTTCCACGCTTTTCATTTTTCTTTTCTTACTCAAAAACAAACTCACAAGCAGGGGTCGGAAGCTTTGAAGATTGTTCAGGGTTACTGCAAAGACTGTTCAGGGCTTCTGCTTCTCAGCCCTGCTCACAAGTTTTCCATTTTTTTCACTTCTAAGTGAAACAGCCATTTGAATCCCAAAGCAGTAATTTTTTAAAAGCTTAATAAGACATTTTGTTTTACCTCTTACTTGAGATTATCTTAACTCTATTTGTCTGGTGTATTCAGCTACTTAAAGCAGCTTTAAAAGCTTATCATAATTCTTCTATTAATCTTATTAAAAAAAAAACTTTAACGCGAAACGTGATTGAAATCAGAGCTCAAATTGAAGGCAACAATTAAGTACTTTAATGAATTAATACTTCAATCAGAGATTGGAACAAGTCGCGCTTTCAATTTCATGTCAATCAGAAGCAAATTTCAGAATATTTTTTAAATAATTCCGACAAGTTCCAATCCATGATTTTATTAATAACTGAAACTAATTCTCAGTTTTCTTTCCCCAAATCTCATCTTCTTCTTATCGAACAGCCAATAATTTGAAAACTGTCAGTGTAAACGCTGACATTAACACAAATTTCTCTCTTTTCACTTAATTTGATTCTCAACACTTCAAAATAGAAAACAAAAATAATTTTTCGATGATTTTAGAAATGTAATATGTGCTATGAATCATTCTTCGTGTCTTCACGAATCGAGTTGAGGTCAAAATTGGAGAAATGATATTCATAAACATTTGAATGTCGTTTTGAAGGATCGTGATAAACTTGGTGAACATTATTATGAACGTGATGGGTTTGAACAGCATTCAAATGCTTCTTATAAGGACTTTGATGACTGAAATGATGAAGATAACTATCGAAATAAGTTTGATTTTGGGAGTTTGGATGAAACAATTGTGTCGCTTGTTGAATTTGTTTCTTACAAGTTCTGTAATGTGTCATGTGATCTAAAGCACTTCTTTTGACACTCGCACCACCCCCGCTACTTCCACTTATCATTGGGTCCCATTCACTATTACTACAAGTTTCGCCTGACGATGTCGATGAAGTTGGAGTCGGTAGCAAAGTTTGTTCGTCGACGTTTTTCTTCTTCTGGTGATGATTCTGATGATGAATAGGTGGAGGTGGGGGTGGCGTTGATGGATGTCTTATCGGACCATGCGTGTAATATTCAACACAAACATTCTGACCATGAATGTCGCTTGTCACCGCGAGATTTTTTTGATATGGATAACGTGGAAGCGAATTAGAATCGAAGCCGAAATTTGAGTTAAATCGCGATTGTGGAGAAACAAACTTAAAATTACTGGGAATCGCTTGAGCAGCGTGTTGTTGTGACGAAGGTGAATACGCGCGATTAACATTCATCGGTGTAAACCTTTGAATGCTCAAACTGAACTTCTTATTAAGTTTCTGATGTTGATGATTCGCGTAGGTCGGCGGTAAATGAAGACTTTTTACAGAACTACGATGATGAAACGGAAACTTACCGTTTTGAAGGTTGTCATAGCTGCGTTGACGATATAAACCTTGCATGTGGTTGTCGCTGGTACTCGGTGGAATTTCGACCTAATTTAATAAATAATTAAATTAATTTGAACTTTCACTCTATAAAAAGATTTCTTACGTTGATATGGTTGTAGACTTTTGAAGGATCGTTGTTTGCATTTCCCCCGATTGGTTGAACGACCATCGGCGGTGTTGGCATTCCATTGATTTTATCATCAGTTTGCATTTGTTGTCGATATTCTTCAGTGACGATGCCACGTCTAATCAATCAATAAATAAGAAACTTTCGAAAAGAATTCAAAATTCACACCAACCTGTCAATCAATGAAGGCTGAAGTGGACCGCATAAGATGTAAAAGCAGTTCAAGCAAATATTTCCGCGTGAATACGGATTCGTTGATGATTGTCCACCTTTTGATGAAAACGATCCTTTGATATCTTCGTTTGTGGTTTGATCACTTGATGTTAAATATGTGTGAAAGCCTGCAAGTCCTATCACAGACCATACTGATAAGAAGCAAATTGCTGACACAACAACACTAAATGGCGACATTCGTATAACATCAAGGATGTCTCTCGTTTCAGTTTGTAATAAAACAAGATGTGTGAGAGCGCATGCAAATACAAAAACTGCTAGAAAAGCTAAGGAAACGATGAACATGTAGAAAAATCTATAATTCCGACGACCAACACAATTGCCGACCTAAATCGAAGAAAGAACAAGATTATTAATTGATATCAGATGTTAAGACGACGTGGGGTTTAGCAACATTACCCATGGGCCTGTAAGAACGAAAAAAAAAGTTAATTAAATAAAAAAGCAAATCTAATGAATAAAATTAAACTTACAGTGATGATCAAATCTATCAACGCAATTATCACAAAGACTGCAATGTGATGCGCGTGGTGGTCGAAATATTTTGCATGTGAAGCAATATTTTAGCTTCACAGTTTGTCCTCTAACTAATACTTCCTTCGTCCTGGGTGGGGGACGATAGGTGGGACTGTTAAGCGCATTAGGAACCTCAATTTGTTTCTCAATATAAGCTGCTTCATCTTGTGATGCTCTCGGAATAATTCCGGGGTCACTGAATGATGTTCGGAGTAGAGCGCACATCGTAAAAGTGTATAAAATGCCACCAATTATTGGAATGCCCAAAGTTATGCGTTCAGCAAGGAAAGGACAATCGAAAGCCTGTAAATTGATTTGTTACGTCAGTTAAATTGTACAATATTTTTATTATATTTACTTACGAAGAAAAGTCCACTTGTTCCAGTAATTAGAACGACAGTGAGGTAAAAGATGCTGGAATTGGGCGCAGTGATCAGGTAACCATTACAGTAGAATTTGTTGCGCCCAGGAAATAGTTGCCACTTTCTCATACTTCTATGTCGTGGTGCCATTTTCATAGCCATTCTATGTTAAACGCGTCGACAAAAATTAATAAAGATAGCAAGATAAAAACTTTGCTGCTCTGTTTTATATTTATCATAAATTTTTTTGTTTTTTCCTTATTTTTCTTTCACACTAAAATTATTTAAGTCTCATTCGTTTTGTCCTCATGCTGCTGCTTGGAATTGCCAGCCAACATTAAATCGCTTTCTTATTAAATAATTCTCGGGGGGATTTACTAATTCTACTCCATGATTCAGCTTTAAATGAAATTAAATCTAGACTTCGATGTGTTTAGGAATTGAAAAAATTTTAGTATGAAACCTGAATTGCACTAAATTTTATGTCTGTCTGTCATACAATTTTGTGTCATGGATAAAGTTGCTCAATTAATACTCGAGACGCAAACATTTTTTTGTTAAAACAAAAAATTTCAATCAAACAATTTTCAATTTTTATGCTGATTAAAACCGATGGCTACTGCATGTCCAAAATCTTTCACAAGTAAAACACTTGATTGTGATGAAGAATTTAGTGAATACTGCGAAAATTTCACCTTTTCAGATACGGTAAGTTAAACATTGATTTATTTTTGAAATTTATTAAATTTCTATCATTATTAAGGAAAACAATTGCTTCATATGTAATGGATATTACGGACCGAGCTTCAGAGAACCCGTTTGCGGCGTGTGTCATTCATTCGTTTTTCACAATGAAGGCCAAATAGAAATCGAAAATAATCATTTCACGAAATTTTCAGACGACGAAGAAGATTCAGGAAACGAGGAAATGCCGAACCAGCAAGAATTTGATGATAACAGTGAAGTTGACAGTGTGAACTTAAATTTTAATATAAATAGACGGCTAAACGTCGATCCACCGAGAGATGTTGCAGAATTCGTTGATCTTCTTTCTCGTCCTCGACATGAACAAGAGCAAGCTGTGGTCAAAGACGAAATAGTTGAGAAACTTCCCGTAGAAATATTACTTAAAATATTTTCATATTTAGATGACTTGTCACTGTGGACAGTGAGTGAAGTTTGTAAAAAATGGAAAACAATTCTGCAACGTAACACTCCACAAACGTTTTGGAAGCGATATTTGAAAGAAAGATTTCCACTTTATCAACAAATATCGTTTGTGTCGAATTGGATGGAAAAGTATTGTTCAATGATGTCTTCTTGTTTTTGTCGAACATGTCTCATACAAATGGCAAACAAAACACCAATCAGAGGACTCATGCAAAGATCTTATGTTAACAATCTTCGTGCCAGGCGCTTAAGAAACGACATCAGATCGATCGCACAAGAAGGTTCAACACTTGGAATTGACGCACTCCCTCTCGATCCTCAAGAAACACATTGGCAAGCTTCAATTATTGGACCCAACAACTCACCTTACGAAGGTGGAAAATTCTTCCTCTACATAAGATTTCCATACAACTATCCAATGTCACCACCGCATGTGAGATTCTTAACTAAAATCGTTCACCCAAATGTCAGTCGACATGGAGACGTCGGCATCGACATCATTCAACATAATTGGTCCATCTCGATAACAATTTCAAAGCTACTTCTTTCAGTTCAAAGTCTTTTAACAGATCCTTACTCTGAAATTTGTAAGTTGACAGAATTTACTTGAAATTCTTAAAATATTTAATTAACTTTTTCTTCAGGTATGGAACCAGAAATTGGACGACTCTATGAACAAGAAATCTCAAAATTTAATGCATTGGCAAGACGTTGGACATGGAAATATGCCATGATTGAAGTTCTACCTTTTTCATCACCATTTGATTAAAAAATTTACGTTTATTTATTCGTTTAAGTATATAATCAAAATATTTAATTAATATAAAAAAGTTTCCTTCTTACATTTAATTATTTAAATTTGTAATTGTCATCTTGAGTTAAATTTATTTCTTTATGTTTTAAAAAATGGACATTTTGCTTCCAAAATTTTTCGCGAATCACAAGTTGCCAGTTCAGGAAGATTTTGTAATACGTGTCGAATGTAAACCTGCAATCGTTGTCGTCTTTCCTCGACGAAATCAAAGTCAAGATTTCCAATCTTTTTCTTGGGAGGAAAATCAAGAACTTTAATTTGAAGATATTCTTTCTTGAGATTTTTATGAAGTTTATGGAAATCGCGATAACGTTTGAAAATTGTCCAACTTTCATCTCCATTTTTTGATCGCAAATTTATCTCATAAATGTAATAATTTTTCGTTTTTGTCTTTTGAAGTGTTGCTCGTGGGATTGAGATTTGAAAGTTGGCGAGATTATTGATCTTTGTTGTGCTGAGGAGATTTCTCAAACGACTGTTTTCTGAAGTCAATTCAAGGATTTGGTTCTCAAGTTCCATAATACGTTCTCGTTGCTTTTGGATGATGACCTCGTTGTCGATTTGAGTTGTTGCATTTATTAGCGGTTCTACAGTTGCAATATGCTCAACCGTTTGGATTTCTTTGTTCTCAGTGAAGCTCTCGTCTGATGACGAACTTGAATGCGAAATTGTGTCGTCATCTTTCAAATGCAAATTTTGCATGTCATCCTTGAAGTTAAAATTAGAAGACGAGCCAGCGGATGACTCTGTGGTAAATGATGTTTTATTACTCGAATGAGAAGAAGATTCCAATGTTGATGACGGCAGTAAAAAGTTTTCCACTTTTACAGAATTTGTCACTTCATGAACTTTCACCGTTTCTTCAAAGTCGTCAATATTTCGACGAAGTTTTCCCGCCGAAGCTTTCATTACATTACTTGAGTTTGGAACAGCAATGATTGGCTCGGGTTTCGTTGCAGGTGTTTTGCTAGATGTTACATTTAATTCTGGAATGTCAATTGAAATAGCAAATAACACAGGGCTGAGATCTGCTGCAAGTTTTGGAAGAATTGCTGTCGCTTTCTCATCACGTAATAAGGCAAATGGTTCATAAAATTCACCGATGTTTTCAGCAGACAACCATGTCAAAATATATCGTTCTAAACAACGTTCATTCAGAGCATTTCTTATCAAAGCTTTTGTTTTTCCACGATCCGTCCACAGCTAAAAAAGCAAAAATTTCATTGAAAGTCAAAAGTTATGTGAGATCCGTTTACATACATTTTTATAGCTTGAAAATCTTTCTAGCTCATGTTTTGTGAGGTGTTGCGATGCAAAACTCCAAAATAAATTTCCATTTGGCGCTGATGATAACAAAAACAGTTCCTGAACATTTTCCAAAATTGAACTCTTCAAACCATAACAAAGAGTTTTTTCTAAAAGTTGAAGTAATCGCTCAACTTCTGGATGTTCTTCTGTCACAACTTGTTTTCCTCCATTGTATTTCGATGATATTTCACGTGTTACATTAATTAACTCGCTGAGTATTAGACGTTTCTCATCATTTATTTTATTATTTGAGTTCATTGTTTTCACTTTGAGAATTGAGATTGATTGAAGTTTTTATGAACGTTCATTAAAGTTCATTTTTGTTCAGTTCATATCAGATTTCTGAACAGCTGATCACTTCGTTTGTTTACAAATCTGAGCGAAAATCATCACAAAAGTAAAAAAATAAGTTTTACCGATTTTAAAAGATGGAAAATAAGAAAAAAGGAAAAAGAGCTCTAGAAGAGTCTGAAATAATTCCATCAAAGAAGAGAATAAGAGTTGAATCAAGCAATTCAAAATCTGAACAAAATTATTGGGAAATTCATGAGTTGGTCGCGGAAATAGAAGAAATCGATGTCAATTTATCTCAGACAATCATTCAATTGTTTGAAGACGACTTCACAATTCCATTTCTCTGTCGTTATAGAAAAGATTTAATCTCAAATTTTTCTCCAGAAAAACTTCGCGACATTAAAGAAACGATTGAAAATGTAAAACTTATTAAAACAAAATCAGCAAACACTTTAAAGATGTTAGAAAAGGAAAAAATCTTGACTGAAGAAATATCAAGAAGCTTGAGAGCTGCAAAATCACTTGATGAACTGGAACATCTGATATTACTTCATAAACCTGCAAGCAAAGGTTCTTTGTATGAAAGAGCAGAGAAATTGGGTTTAAAACCAGCAGCTGAAAATATTTTATTTGGCAACAAGGAAGTCAATCTCAATTATTTCATAAACGAATCAGTGAAAGGACTAAAAGACTTGCAAGAAGTAGAAGAAAGTGTCAACAATGTCATGTCTCATCTCATCGCTAAAAACGAAGCTGTGATGAGTGAAGTTCGACAACTAAGGACGAAATTTGACGTGACAATAATCACAGCAAAATTGAAGCAAAAGAAAACAGAAGAGAAAAAGTCAAAGACTGATAAATTTGAGAATTACTACAACTTTTCATGTCCAGCGAAAAGAATTCGATCACATCAAATTCTGGCGATCAATCGAGGAGTTTCATTGAAGGTAAAACTTTAATTAATTTTAGTAAATTTCTAAGTTTTATTATTTCACAGGAACTGAGCATTAAATATGAAGTTGACGATCGTTTGTATAGACAACTCAAACACTTTGCATCACAAATATTTCTAAAGCAAGGAAGGTTTTCTGAATATCGAAATAAAATTTTCATGACTGCTTTCGACGACGCATATCGCAAGAAAATTTCTCCATTTATTGTTCGACAAACACAAACTGAGCTTTCAAGACAAGCTGAAAAAGCATCCGTCGAAGTATTTGCATCGAATTTGAAGAATCTTTTGCTCACGAATCCAGTGAAAGGAAAAAAGATTCTCGGGATTGATCCAGGCTTCACAAGTGGATGTAAACTGGCGTTGATTTCAGAGACTGGTGAAGTTCTCGAATCATCTCTCAAGTTTCATCTCAACGATAAGACAAAATCAGAAAATTTAATTTCTTCCTTAATGAAAAGAAACAATTGTTCATTAATTGCAATTGGAAATGCCACAGCATGTCGTGAGACAGAAAATTTCATCGCAAAACTTATCGAGAAGGATTTGAAATATGTTCAATATTGCATTGTCTCCGAACAAGGCGCTTCAATTTATTCATGCAGTGACATTGCAAAGAAAGAATTTCCAAAGATTGACGTTTCGTATATTGGCGCAATTTCAATCGCTCGTCGACTTCTCGATCCACTCTGCGAACTCGTCAAGATCGAACCAAAACATTTAGGCGTTGGAATGTATCAACACGATGTTAAAGAGAAAACTCTTAAAAAGACACTTGACGAAGTAATCAGCGAATGTGTGAGTTTTGTTGGAGTTGATTTAAACGTGGCGAGTTTTAGTTTGCTAAAAAATGTTGCTGGATTAACTGAGAAAAGAGCTGAAGCTATCATCAAATATCGTGAATCAAATGGATGTTTTAAATCGAGATCAGATTTAATGAAAGTCAAATCAATTGGACAAAAGTTGTTCACACAATGTGCTGGTTTTGTTCGAATCAACGCGCTTTCAGTAGGAATTAAGAACGTCAATACTTTAGATTCAACAAATGTTCATCCGGAGAGTTATGAAATTGCTGAAAGAATCATCAAAGATTGTGGATTAAAATTGGATGATGTTGGAAAACCAAAATTTGTTTCTTTGATTACAAAATATCGTCAGGAATCTTCTTTAGAAAAGTTGTCTAAAACTTACAACGAAAATATCGAAAGGGTGAATTTGAAATTTATTTGTTAATTAAACTTAAATTAATTTTCCCTTTTTCTACAGATTAATACAACATTCGATGCATTATCGAAGGAATTACTTCACGACTATCGAAATGAAATCAAAATTGAGCCGGTTTTCAAGAAAGGAATCACCGACATATCAACTTTAAAAGGCGGACAAATTTTGTCTGGTGTTGTCATGAATGTTACCGACTTTGGAGCTTTTGTTGATTTGGGTGTTGGAAAAAATGGTTTAATTCATTCTAGTGCTATGAAAGGTGCGAAACTTAAAGTATCTGATAGAATTGAATGTAAAGTTTTGCAAATTGACGCGGCTAAAGGAAGAATTGGCTTGGAATTTGTTGAAAATATTTTTTAATTTTGATTTCATTAAACATTCAACTTAATCAAATCATTTATTTTATCAATTGTTAATCCAGAATCTTTCGACATTGTTACAGTTTTCGTTCTGCTTCTACTTCCACGATCTAAACTTAAATCTGATTTTCTTACATTGAAAAGTTTTGATAAATATGAGATTAGTTCCGTGTTTGCTTCTCCATCAATAGGAGGTGCTGCAATTTTGATTTCTACTCCTTCCTCGGTTATACCTGTTATTCCATTTTCTTTACTTCCTGGTTTAGCTAGAACTTTTATTGAAATATCGCCGTTTTTGTCGATTTTGATTGCTTGTGAAATTTTTGGTGTTTCAGTTGTTAGCTCTTTCTTTCCAGCTTTTGTTGATTTTGGAGCCATAGTTCTGTATAAAACACAACGAAAAAACTTCATTCACTCTCTTTAACTTAATTTAATTCGTCTTTGCAAATTTATTAAATAATTAAAACCTTAATTTCAATGTTTACATTTTCACAAGTGACAGATTATAAAATTGTAGTTCGTTTTTAATTGGTTTGTTTACCTTATTAAGGCATGTTCAGAAAGTAAAAGTTCGTTTTATAACAGTTTTCGGGAGGTGCAAAAAGAAGAAAAAAAATTTCCAAACAGGAAAACTTAATTCTACCTAGTTAATTAGTTATTTCTATCAGTTTGATGTCAAAAAATAAAAACCAAGAGAATCACAGATAAAATTATAACATGGAATAATTCGAAATTGTTGTGAATTTATTGGTAAATGAAGGTCTGAATTTTGTCCTACATTTTTTTGCGTCGTGGAGTGTTAGTTTTGGATAATTAAAAGAAAATACGAAGATGCATGCCTGGTCTGGTGATATTGTTCACTTAAATGTGGGTGGAAAAAAGTGAGTTATTAAAAAAGTGAAATGTTACTGAATAAGAATAAAATATTTAACTATTTTCCATTGAAGATTTTCAACATCCAGAACAACTCTCAATCAAATTCCCGACACCTTCTTCACAGCTCTCTTATCTGGTCGAATTCAATCACTACGAGATGAAAATGGTGCAATATTTATTGATCGTGATCCAGATTTATTTTCTTTAATTTTAAATTATTTAAGGTAAGTTTCAATTCTCTTATTTAATGGGAAGAATTTGATTTATTGATTTTTGTTTGTCAACACAAATTGTCATGACTCATGATGATTCATCAAAAATAATCGTAGAACGAAAGATATCGATTTGAAGTTATGTGATATTCGGTTATTGAGACATGAAGCGGAATATTATGGAATTTCTCCTCTTATTAAAAGACTGTTGTTGATCGAAGAGATGGATCATTCTGGATGTGGTGACTTGTTGTTTTACTGTCTGCTACCAGCACCAAGTGAGTTCCTTTAATATTTTCCATGTTTTTGTCATAAACTTTAATTTCATTTCAATCAGACATTCCAATTCAAGAGTATGTACAAGCTGCAATAAATCAAACTTCAATTGAAAGTGAAGCGAGTTCTTCATCAGTTTCATCACGTCCAACACCTGGTGCTTTGATTCGTGCACCGTCAGAGACATCTCGTCCAACAACGAATGATGTTTCAAGGCATAATCATTCACACTCGCGAACATCTTCATGGGACTTGCGAGTGTCAAGAAATCTTAACAATCATTCAAGAAATCCTTCATTAGACTTGCGTCATTCTAGAAATTCATCGGCAGATTTAAACAAATTTGTTAAGAATGATCTGGGTTTAGTGTTTGGACAACTTCAACAAAATCAAGCATGGATTGATCCACTTCGTGTCCAAGTCATTAAAGCACATCACAATTGGCTTGCAGTTGCATATTCACATTTCTTTATTTGTTATCGAATGAAAGATTCATCAGGATGGAAACTCGTCTTCACATCGCCATTCATCGATCATGTCATTGAACGAATTGCAATTAATGCGAAAATGAATTTAACTTCATCTAATGATACGCCATTGCGAATGGTCGCCATAAGTTATGGATCAGAAATTAAATTATGGGGAATTGGTGAAGATGGTGGGAAATCTGATATCATTGGGACATTCAATCTGCAAGTGCGCGTTGAATTTCTCTTCTTCATTGGCAATCAACTTGTCGCTTTATCATCGTCTGGAAAAATTGGAGTTTGGCACTCAAACACAAGACATTTTCAGATTCAAGATCTTTTGCCGATTTTATCATTCGATCATGCTGGCTCGTTTTTGTTGCTTGGATGTACAAATGGCTCAATTTACTACATAGGTAAATGAGAATTTTTATTTTATTTAAATATTTTCTTATAATTTTGTTAATCCACTTCACAGATATGCAAAAGTTTCCTTTGAGAATGAAAGATAATGATCTGCTTGTGACGGAACTCTATAAAGATCCAACAAACGATCAAATTACGTCGATTTCTGTCTATTTAACGCCGAAAACAACAAGTAAGTTGTGATATTGACAAAAAGCGTTTTGATTGAAAGCTGGCTGTTCTTTTATTTAATTTGTTAATTATTTGTTAAATATTTAACAATCTGAAAGCTTATAAAATCAAAGCGCTGTTAAAAGCAGATGGAATTTCGGATAGATGAATAGTTAAAAAACTTTCATCTTTTTTTTAAATAAATCTTCCTATCCGAGCTACCATAATTAATTAATTAAATCTGTTAAAAAACTTCTTCAATATAAAGGAACAAAGAAAAGTTTCCTTCAAAATAATTCGAAATGAAATTAAAATAATCTAATTAATGCATGTGCCAGCACCAGATGGACTTGAAGGTAATAGCAAAAAGAAAAGAAAAACTTCAATTCAAGTTTGATTTTCTATTTCTTAATTCATTCAATATTTGATTCACATAATGATTTGTTCTTTGCTCTGCATTTTATACACATTGTATTATTCAGCTTCATAATTACTTCACTTATTGTTTTCGTGATGTTGCAAATGCAAAATTGGGAATTATTGCAAAAATTCCAAAATATTTTTTAACAAAATTTTTGCGACAATTTTTCTTTATTGCAATTTGCGACATCGTTTATTATGTTTCCAACAATCAACATGTTTCTTGTCGTTTCGTTTTCGTTACGAATTATGTCAAAGTCATTTGCTTTGGTGCTGGCATGGAAGATGTTTAAGATGTTTTTTCACAATGCTACACATACTTGAGACACTGAAAAGCTTCTGTCTTTAGTTTATAATTTATTAGATTTGTTTCGTCAATGTCTTAAATATTATTTAGATTGTTGGTTGTGCACATTTCTTCTTTCTAATAAAGGAAGATTCTTATGAATGTTTTTGTGAAAGGTTTGTCAGGTAATTGGATCGAGATTGCTTATGGAACAAAGTCAGGTGCTGTTAAAGTGATTGTTCAACACCCAGAAACTGTCGGTCATGGACCTCAACTCTTCCAAACGTTCACTGTCCATCAATCGCCAGTGATCAAAGTTACATTGTCAGAAAAATATTTAATTTCTGTCTGTAGTGAATACAATCATGTAAGAACGTGGCGTGTTACAAGATTCCGAGGAATGATCAGCACACAACCAGGTTCAACACCTGAAGCTTCTTATAAAGTCGTGTCACTTGAGTCTGTCGAAACAAACAACACATATTTAGCTGGAAATGATTTTGGGCCGTTTGGTGAACAAGACGATGAACAAATTATGATTCAAAAAGTTGTTCCTGACACGGACAAGTTGTTTGTTCGATTGGCGTCTAAAGGCGATCGAGTTTGTGTGATAAAATCTGTGGATTCAACAACAATCACTTCATTTTGTGTACATGAATGTGAAGGATCGTGTACAAGGATGGGATCAAGGCCGAGACGTTTTCTATTGACAGGTCATTGCAATGGAACTATTCAGTGGTGGGATTTGTCAACTGCACTTGAATTATTTAACAAAGGAGAGTTGGGTGAGTGTTTTTTATTTATTCTTCCCACCAACAATTAATTGATTTTCACAAATTTTACAAATTTTTAAACAGTTCAAAAATCCAGTGGAGGTCCATCAGCTGAAGAACTTTTACAAGAACTTGATCAATGTGACTTGAGCAGTAGTCACAATAACACTCCATCAATGTCACCTGGAATCTCGAATTTACATGCTGCTCAAACAAGATTGAAATCTTCTAATATCAATTTTCTTAATCAAAATGTTTCTCATAATTCAACAGATATTTGAATTAATTTAATTATGAAGCTTTAAGCTTAAAAATATTTAATTGAAGTTCATATTTATTAAGAATTCGGCTTTTGTAAAATACCAAAAACCATTCTCTTGCATTTTTTACAATATTTATATTTTCACGTAAAGAAATTTTCATAAGGTGATTTTCACAATTTCCGATCCATGCTAATGATTTTCAGGACGTCAACTTTCTTCAATTATTTTTTCACAGCATTGTTATCGGATGTTGAGAGCTTCCAAAATCACTCAAAACATCTTCTCAAACC